AAAACTTCTTTATCTTTGTTTTCTTTTTTTGACTTTAAACTCTAATTCATTTTTTTGTTCTTTTGATTTAAAGATTTTTGTTGTTTTTTATTTAAAAAAATATAAATTTATTGAAATGTACATTTTTTTTTGTTTCTATCTTATCTTTCTATCTCTTTGTTTTTTCCCCTTCTCATTCCTTTTTTTGTCGTTTTTTGTTTTTTTTTTACCCCCCAACACACCCTATCTCTATCTAATATGTAAATAAAATGAAAAAAAAAAACATATTCTTATATTCTAACAGTATTATTAATTTTACTGAGTTTTTTTTTTTCTGATTTTTTTAAAATTAAATTTGAGAAAAATGGTTAAAAAATTTTAGGGAAAAACTTAAGTTTGTATATAGACAGACATAACAGTGCTTCCTTCCTTACAACAGTTAGAATTACAGTCGTCCTGGATAAATCTCATCTCATCTTCTTACTTCTATATTGCCTCAATGTGCAATATTCAATATAAACTGATTAAAAACAACCAACCAAAGATTAATTACCACACAAAAAAAAAACTATCTCTCAATAGCCTTATAAAAAATTCTCTGTCTTGGGTTACTTTGGGTTTAAAGGAATGATTGTTTATTATTATAAAAAAAAACTTGTGTATGCACCCTATTTATTTTTTAAATTATATATTTATATATATATAGATATATATATATTGATAAAAAAAAAACTAATTTTTTTTTTTTTTTTGGAAAGAATAAAAAAAATATATTTATATATAGACTAACAAAATAAGAAATTTTTGTAATAATATCTATCTCTATATATATATGAAATATATATATATATTATAGTCAGAAGTCTCATAGTGTGGGAATCTCTGTGATTCTCTGCTATGGTAGAATTTCTCCTCTTTGGTTATACCTTCACTTTGGTTAAGTTCTTCTCCTCCTTTTGACAGACTTATTATTTACTAATTGATTTTTTTCATTGACTTTTTTTTTTTTTGCCAAAACAATTTATTCTTTTTTATTATTTTTTGCTTCATTGGCCAGATAATATATTTCAACTCTTGATTATAAAATGTTGAAATAAATTTTTATTCTTCAGAAATTTAATAAAGTTTTTAAAAAAAAACCCCAATTTTTTTTTTGTTTTTTTGTTTGTTGTGATGTTATTTCATTTCACGTAACCTTGAACACACATGTTGTTTCTTATCCTCTTGTAAAGAATACACCAATTCCATTATTTCATGTTTCTCTAGCTGTTTTATGATGAGCAGCGGCCTCTCCCAAAGGTCCTGTTTAGTACATCTAATGCAAGCCAAAATGTGTTTTGGAGTTGCAGGTGCCAAGCTACATTTGGGCAAGTGGGGTAGATTTTGTTATTATTTTCTATCTTCAATGGCTTGAGATGGTCTGTTCTGTTGTTGTTTCTTATCACCTTGTGTGTAAGGATACATGATCTCATGGGGTGTAGCTTTCGTTGATCATGGCACACTTTGGTGAAAGTCTGACTGTAGTTTGAGGCTGTTCCTAACATGGAAGCCTTTGCTGCCGACTCTAACATGAGTACAGACCTCTATATCCCAGTAGAGGAACCCTTGCTGAGGTCTATCAACTGGGTCAGTTGAACTTAGGATTTTTAAAGAGGGACTGTCCCTCCTGGTTATGGTCTGTTCTAAATCTTGTTAGTGATAATAACACCAAATAACCTTTTTTCTAATCCAAATTGTACCTTATTATCATTATCACATTTTAGAGGGAGCTGGCCATACAAGACTTCCAGGATGGTGTCAAGACACAATGTACCATCTACAGGACCAAACGGACCACCTCTTGAAATGAATGGAACGCGAAACAATGTACAAATGTGAAATTGTACTGGTATAAGGTGGATAAATTAAGAAAAAGGTATCTCTTTATTTATACGGCACAATTTGGATTATAGATTATAAACACCAAATAAATAAATAGTGTGTGACGTTTCAGTGTTGTCACCATCTTCAGACAAAAGTACTGAAGATGGTAACAACACTGAAATGTCACACAATATTACCTGTATAGTTTTGTAGTAGAAACATAGTGAGGACATCTCTTATTTTTAAAGTAATTTTGTGAGTGCCTGGCTCATCATTCCATTGTGAAACTGCTGATGCATTTCCCATTACAGTAGAAACTACCTCCCTGTAAAGGACAACACCTAATTGCAGAGCTAAAAATGTCCTTTAGAGAGAGGTGTCCTCTTACCAGAGAGTTTCTAAATAATAAAAATGGTAATTTTACAGATGAAAACTGTTCTTTGTGGAGAAGTGTCTGCTAAAGGAAGGTTCTACTGTATTTACATTTTTGTAGTATGGACAAATTTTTCATTATAAAAAAAAACACGTCTTATAAACATTTTCCTTAAATTAAGAATTTATAATAGAAACACAGGTGCCTATTTTGGTGAGCCAGTAGAATTCAAAATGTGTTTTTTTGAAATATCTAGTACAAATGGTATTGAAGGGGGTGAGTTGGTCTAAACTGTTGGTTTTTTGACCGCTACGACCTGGGATCGAATCCTGCATTGGGCTTTTTTTCTAATTTGAAAATAAATTCCCCAATGGTGTGTCCTCGATTCTTGCAAAAGTCAACCCCACCAGCGAGTGCAAGTAAACAAACAGGGCTCTGGCACATTTGTAAGTTTAAAAGTCAAACTGCTTTTCACATGTGTAGACATGGTACACTTACAGTAAAAGCAGTCATCAAATTTTACCCCACCATGATTATCATGGCCTGTACCACATGTACTAGGGATAATTATAACAAGTAGTACAGGCCATGATAATCATGGTGAGTAGTAGTTGGTGACTGCTTTTACTGTAAGTGTACCACATTTTACATATGTAGAATCAGTTTTGCACATAGAAGTGTACCAGTTTGGTTACTTGCACTCATTGGTGGGGTTGCAAGAATTGTAGGGTCCAAAGTACTGAATGGGTGTGTTCAGTAGGACATCTTCCTCTGGTCTTTGACCTTTCCAAATATTGAGGTGGAATAATGTAACCTCCATGGGAAAATTTGAAGTTTCACAAAAAAGTAGTAAGTCTTATTCTTCTTTCTTATCTTAACTCAGTGATTCTCAACCTTTTTTTTGTTGCGGCATTATTTTAAAGATTTGAAAATTTGGCGGCACAATTTTAGAATTTCGCGGCACACTTTTGCTAACTTGAATGCAAGAAAATTCAAATTATGTATCAATATTTCTATGCAAAATATAAGTAATATACATCTCTAACATTCAATTTGTGCTAATTTCGTTATTTTAAAAAGTAAAAAAAAGAAAAAAAGAAAAACCAATACAAACGTTAACATAATCATATGACTAAAATTCGGCGGCACATTTTTAGAATTTCGCGGCACACAAAATTACCCGCGGCACATTGGTTGAGAATCACTGTCTTAACTCAATCATATTAGTGTACTGGGTGAAGTAAAATAAGTCTGCCTTTGTCATTAAGACTAGGAACACTACTCAGTGGCAGGCCGATTTAGCTCCGAAAGAAATGGCCGCCTCTGACATGAACAGACGCTGTGTGCCAGTCACTCCTAACATGGAGTACAAACACTGCTCATCCTGTATCCTTGGATTAGGAGCCCTTACAGGGTACTATCAGCCGGGCCAGCTGAGCCCATGTTTTTTAGTGAGCTTGTTACTGCTCCCCCTCCTCCTTTTTCATCCGGGCTTGGGACCGGCAAAGGCGGAGTTAAAGTAGTAAGTGCTATAATGCTATTGGTCTAGCTTGAAGCAAAATATTTAACTTAAGAAAAGTGCATTTCCTTATCGTATAACTGAAAGTTGCTGATGGCTACGCCATCTATCGGAATAAATATCAACTATTTGTTGATTTTTTTTATTATTCCAGAATTGGCTAAATTATTGATTAATCAAGAAAAGCTGATCATATACGTGTTTCGGGCTGTTGACCATCATCAGCGTGGTGCAAGCTGTACCTCAAAGACCAAAAAATTGGTAATTCAGGCATCCTGAAAAATCATGAGATGATAGATGACTCAAACCATCAGCAACTGAAAGTTGCTGATAAGGAGATCCCTTTTTCTTAATTTATCCACCTTATCCAGTACAATTTAACATTTGTACTATTTCCATATATATTTAACATTTTAAATATATATAATTGAATATCATTTCTACAAAATTCTGTAATGCTTAAATATTTTGTAATGGTAGAGCCTGGTGGTGAACTCTCCTAGAAATTTGATCTCCGCACACCAATGTATTAAGCCGATTTTCTACTGTGTGAAAGGGTGTTTGGGAAAACTAGGAACATATTTTTCATATCTTGATGTGCTATGGTAGATTAAACTGGCGAAACTGCTGGGAGGGTTCACCACTGATGAGAACTCCACCTTTGCCGGTCCCAACCCCGGATGAAAAAGGAGGAGGGGGAGCAGTAACAAGCTCGCTAAAAAACCTGGTTTCAGCTGGCCCGGCTGCTAGTACCCTGTAAGGTCTCCAGGGATACAGGATGTACTCCATGTTAGGAGCAGCTGCACATGACGTCTGTTCCTCATGTCAGAGGCGGCCATTTCTTTTGGAGCTAAGTCTGCCTGTCACTGAGTAGTACTCCCAGTCTTAATGACAAAGGCATTCTACTTCACCCAATCATGATGGTTGTCCTTTACAAGCTTGATACCCTAATGTGATTAAGTGGAGGTAAGAAAGAAGAAGACCACTGATGAGCCAGACCTTTCCATTATTTTATCATATTGCAGTAAGAGGACGCTAGAAATTGTTTTATTTCAAAAAGAATCAAACGGGTCAAAAAAGTTTAAATATAAATCAATTAATCCCTTACAAAACAATTGTATCAAACAATGTAAAACCTATAATACAATATAATGTGGCTTGTAGAACGAAATTTGACAATTATACCACAAATGTTTCTTTTGAACGAAAAATCGAAATTTATTTTAAGGATAAATAACGATTATTTCTAACCTTATGGAAGGCTACTCCAGGGTAGCCTAGTGGACATGACATCTGCACGGTAATCGGAACACTGTGGGTTCGTTTCCCATCCCTGGACACTTTATTTTTCCGTTTATTATTACTCTTCACAATTCATCCTATCATACTTCATCCCTAAGGTTAGAATTAATCGTTATTTCTCTTCAAAATAAATTTCGATTTTTCGTTCAAAAGAAACATTTGCGATATAATTGTCAATGTAAAACATGCATCAAAAAGAAAACCAACTTTACCTGACAAATACAAAACAAGTTGTTTACACACACAATAAAGACCATCAAGTTTAATAGATTCTGCAGGCTGTATATTTTAAGTATTGACTGTTGGCCACTGACTCGTTCTGATGTAATCATTGGATGTGATTAATTTATTTGGTCTACATGTTGTTCTAACTGTTGTAACTTTGTGTACACATTTCACACGGTGTACATATTTCAAGCTACTATTTATAATTACTACTAGACGTATGACCCGGCTTCGCCCGAGAATTCCCCCGATTGCAATTTCCTTCATACTGAAAGTACATCAATAATAAATATTAGAAGTGCCATAGAATAGCAATACAGAAGTAACACATAACCTACAGGAAAAAAGTGTGTGTGATGGCAAAAATTGTATTATATTAGTGTTTAGGTATTTGATTTAATTAATATAGTTGATATAATAATTAATATTTATATTATACTAGCCGAATGACTCGGGCAACGCCCGGGTTTTACCCGATTAAATGTTTTTATTCAAATACTATTCGTTACAATTATAAATTGGCGCCGTGGATGTCACTTGTGAAACGTCCTGCTCCAAACTTTGTGTCTGAGAAGCGATATTTTTATAGAAAGATGATCTAGCTTTTGTTTTCTGCTCGAATGAATGTTTTTCTGTTAGAATTTTGTTCCTGCGTACAAAATAATGAACTGGTTTCACCCGTGGACTCTGCTTTTTGGAATTTTTCCCGATATAATTTTGTATCTGATAATCAAACATGATACAGCAATATCGTCACCATCATTTTCTGAATAAAAATATATAGTTTTAATAATTGATTTATATATTTTTTAAAATAGCCTATCGTCTTCCCCGTATTTTTTTACCTATGTATGGAAATTTTGGTTTGAATTAGTGAACTACTGCGAATTTGTATACCGGACATACAGACAGACATACAAACATTCATTTATATATATATAGAGATATAATATAAATGAGTTTTAAAAATTGTAAAAAAATGCATCGGCCGGGAATCGAACCCGGGCCGCCCGCGTGGCAGGCGAGCATTCTACCACTGAACCACCGATGCTTATGAAAAATGGCCATATTTTGGTATTCATTCAATTCCGGATTACTCCGCGTAAAAAAAAAAAAAAAATGTTCTTCAAATGGAAAAAAAAAAAGTCAAAAATACTAATCAAAATGTAGCCGAAAATTTTCCTCAGGTTTATAAAAAGCGACATGCAAAATTTGGTACCAATTGGTTCAGTAGTTTTTGAGTTTATCGCGAAACAGACAGACAGAAATTGACTTATACAGGGTCCATTATGAAAGTAATGAGCATTTACTGGCAAAATACATTTATTGATCGTAATTTGTGTAAATGTTCAATTTTCTTCAAAATACATTCCTCCTGCATCAATACACTTGCGGAGACGCGTTTGCCACGTCTGAAAAGCACCCTGAAACTCCTCGACAGGAATGCTTCTCAAGAACGTTGTAACATGGTGTTGGATGTTTCCACGGTTTCCCAATGTTTTCCTTTCATCTCTCTCTTGAGTCGTGGAAACAAAAAGAAGTCACATGGAGCTAAGTCGGGACTGTAAGGGGGGTGAGGGATCACCGGGGTGTTGCTCCGGGCCAGGAAGTTGGTAATGATGAAGGCTGTGTGACTGGTGGCATTGTCATGGTGGAGCTTGACCGTGTCTTTAATGTCAGTCCTCACGCGTGCGATCCGGCGTTTCAATCTCCTGAGCTCTTCCAGGTAAAAGGCTGAGTTTACAGTTTGTCCCTGCGGTACAAACTCACAATGGACTATTCCTTGGATGTCAAAGAAGACAATGATCATCGTTTTGATGCGCGACTTGCTCAGTCGCGCTTTCTTGGGGCGTGGGGATGATTTTGTGTGCCATGCACAGTTCTGCCTTTTCGAGTCTGGGTCGTATTCAAACATCCAGGATTCGTCTCCGGTTACTACAGAGTTCAGAAAGCCTGGTTCATTTTGAATCAAATCCAACAATTCTTGACAGCGCAAAACTCTAAGTTCTTTCTGGTCTTGCGTCAACACTTTCGGCAGACCTTACGCATTTGCAGATCCTCGGTCACTATCCTATTTACCACAAATGTGGATATGTGTAATGTGTCAGCAATTTGCTGGATGCTTAATCAACGGTCGGTACGCAAAACTTCGAGCACACGATCCACGTTCTCGTCAGTTCTGGCCGTTGTAAAAAGCGACATGCAAAATTTGGTACCAATTGGTTCAGTAGTTTTTGAGTTTATCGCGAAACAGACAGACAGAAATTGACTTATACAGGGTCCATTATGAAAGTAATGAGCATTTACTGGCAAAATACATTTATTGATCGTAATTTGTGTAAATGTTCAATTTTCTTCAAAATACATTCCTCCTGCATCAATACACTTGCGGAGACGCGTTTGCCACGTCTGAAAAGCACCCTGAAACTCCTCGACAGGAATGCTTCTCAAGAACGTTGTAACATGGTGTTGGATGTTTCCACGGTTTCCCAATGTTTTCCTTTCATCTCTCTCTTGAGTCGTGGAAACAAAAAGAAGTCACATGGAGCTAAGTCGGGACTGTAAGGGGGGTGAGGGATCACCGGGGTGTTGCTCCGGGCCAGGAAGTTGGTAATGATGAAGGCTGTGTGACTGGTGGCATTGTCATGGTGGAGCTTGACCGTGTCTTTAATGTCAGTCCTCACGCGTGCGATCCGGCGTTTCAATCTCCTGAGCTCTTCCAGGTAAAAGGCTGAGTTTACAGTTTGTCCCTGCGGTACAAACTCACAATGGACTATTCCTTGGATGTCAAAGAAGACAATGATCATCGTTTTGATGCGCGACTTGCTCAGTCGCGCTTTCTTGGGGCGTGGGGATGATTTTGTGTGCCATGCACAGTTCTGCCTTTTCGAGTCTGGGTCGTATTCAAACATCCAGGATTCGTCTCCGGTTACTACAGAGTTCAGAAAGCCTGGTTCATTTTGAATCAAATCCAACAATTCTTGACAGCGCAAAACTCTAAGTTCTTTCTGGTCTTGCGTCAACACTTTCGGCAGACCTTACGCATTTGCAGATCCTCGGTCACTATCCTATTTACCACAAATGTGGATATGTGTAATGTTTCAGCAATTTGCTGGATGCTTAATCAACGGTCGGTACGCAAAACTTCGAGCACACGATCCACGTTCTCGTCAGTTCTGGCCGTTGTTGGGCGTCCTGAACGGGGTTCGTCGGCGACCTCCTCCCGGCCCTCCTTGAACGCCTTGTGCCACTTCCCAGACTGTGATCTTGAAATGCAATCGTCCTTGAAGGCTTTTTGCAGCATCTGGAATGTTTCGGTTGCATTTTTTCCAAGCCTCACGCAAAACTTTATGGCGTATCGTTGTTCAAGCGAACGCTCCATCGCGCTATGCTACAAAAGTTGAAAACACACTTTAAGCGGAGGCATGTATCTCCCCTCACACTGCTCGAACTCAACTGACGACAGGATGGATTGAAAGGGCATATCCCTCCACTACATTTCCCACGGTTTTACCGTGCTCCTAGCTATCGTCGCGTCACAATAACATTATGCTCATTACTTTTATAATGGACCCTGTATATATATAGAGATATGCAAAATTTGACATCGAATGTGTAATTTGCGTGCTTTCCAATGTTTAATTATGTTAATTTCACGATGATTTGTATATAATTTCAGATTTACACGCAATTATCCTAATTGTGGATATGGCGTGTCTTTGCAACTGTTAAACAAATAAATACATCAATAAGGAACTATAAATTTGTCAAATATAATATTCTGTTAAATCGAGTTGAGTTGAAGGCCACGGTGGGGATGTGTAGCAATTGAACAATGTAGTGAAGAGATACTGTTTATTTATCCGAAGTTGTTGACGTTCCACGTTCTGTGCAGTAGTTATTCTGACGTCCAACACAGGATACATGGGCCATGACATGTGCAATGTAGGTCTGGTCCTGCACACCATGGAAGAGATGGGACATAGGGCCGATTGCATAAAGCGGCACATCTTCTCCTCCGTGGGTATCTTCCTGCATGGGTATCATGGCCATCTGTTGGTAGTTTGGGTTTCCTACACAAAGACAACGTTTATTATTATTGTGAAGAAAAGTCTGGTAATCGTTTCACAAAACACTGATGCCAAATTCGGTAGAAGAATTCGCAGTGATGATTCTTTTGTGGGCTGTTGCAAGGATTTAAATCAGATCACTAAATAGCAGAAAGGAGAGGGTAAAAGTCTCCTTCAAACTAACTTTATTTGAAACATGTTAAGAGGACAGAGGAAAACACCCAACTGGTCAGTAGACCAGGCTCTTCCTTTGTTGCCGGCTGACGGCGGGTATGTTTGTTTACTGTCACCCAATCCGTCTGGCCGACGTCCCGAAGTGGATCTCCATTATTCCATAGTTATATTGTGACAGATTATTTGTTACGCAGACTTTGACTTTATCATCATCGGTGCTGACGTCACTTCTAACACTACTACTCACTACGCTTTATGACTTTTCTGTTTTGATTTATCGCTCGCTTGTTTTAACAATATTTGTATTGGAACAAGTCGTTCCTTAAATAAATATATATTTGTTTTTATCTAAAGGGATGTCCTCGTAACTACAAAATAAGTGAGTACAAAACAACTTGAAATCCATAAAAGAAACATCGTATTTTTTACTAAGCCTATCATTATTTATTATTCTATGAAAATATTTTAAATTCCTCTATTTGTATTTTGATACACTGTAAACTTTTCTTTTTGCCTCTCTGCTATTTTATTAGGTTCCGGCCTAACCTGCCTCTTCCCTAACAGTGAT